CAGCAGCGTGAGATTGTGGCTGATTTTAATGAGCATGAGCTTGCTGTGAGGCTGTGCTATTTGTGTAAGGGTTTAGTGGCACGGTAATGGCCAGTTCATCTGTGTAACTTGCTTCTGACATGCAGACAGGTTGTTTTTTTGTGTGAACAAAGGCGAAGGCGACTGCATGTCAACGACACATAGATTTTGATGAAAGATTGTGTAGGCAAACGTTTTTCTTTGGAATATTGTGCTTTTCCCCGCCTGCCACATCCTAAACCTGCATGCCAGCTCTCCGCCGATAATAGCCTAATTGGATTGTAATTGGTTAGTGATTCTGCAGCGTAGGCCTTTGAATGCCATCTCTGATCTAACGCCGTAACATTGTCACATGCGCTGTGGCGATTTGCACCAGGTGCTCTGGGAACCCTTGAATGAGAGGTATTGTTATAGATGTTGGTTTGTTTACTTAATTACCTGTTTATGTGGTGCATTTTTATTGAATTTATTTTGTTTGAGGCTGTTCAATTGGACCTTCCCCTCCTCTGTGATTCAGAGAGGTCATCAAGTAGCAGTAATTATTGCATTCCATCAGCACCGGCCGTTCGCCGATATGAACTGCTGCTAGAGTTTATGACTCGGCGCAAATCACCTCCGCTTGCTAAAATGAATTGATTAAATTCTAATTGTTATGAAGCCAGACAGTGAAAGTCCCTTATGATCTGCCAGGCAGCGGAACAGTATTGATCCACGAGAGGGAAAGAGTGATTGAGATTGAGGTTTGCGCTGTAAACCGAAAAGCAGAAGTTGGAGATAATGTGGCATGCAGGCCAGATGGTCTTTGTAAGCACAAATCAATGTTACCTTCTAAAGGTTTTTTGAACGGAAGCCTTGGCACCTTGTGCTGAATCTCATTTCGTGAATTCAGTGTTGATTCAATGAAGATATAAAATCAAAATTTATCAGCATCACCTCATGTAGCCCACGCCTTATTTCTTAGATGTGTTTGGTCTTTAACCCTCTACAGCATAGCATTGCCCTCAGGCAACGGAAAGTTTTTCTTATGCTTATGTTCAGTACATGTTTTTTTTTTTTTAAATGACTGCAACCAATAACATTTTTTGAAAAGTATCAAAGAACAGTACTGTAAGATGTGGGAGTCACTATCAACCACCATTTGCAGATTATTTGCTTTAGTAATCTTATTTAAAATGACATGAACTGTACATAAAAAATATGTGTGTGTGTATGTGTATGAAGGTGTAGAGAAGACTTTTGTCAGGTTTTATGAATTTTTTTTAAATTTTATTTAGCATGTTGAAAGTTTTTCTTATGCTTATGTTCAGTACATGTTTTTTTTTTTTTAAATGACTGCAACCAATAACATTTTTTGAAAAGTATCAAAGAACAGTACTGTAAGATGTGGGAGTCACTATCAACCACCATTTGCAGATTATTTGCTTTAGTAATCTTATTTAAAATGACATGAACTGTACATAAAAAATATGTGTGTGTGTATGTGTATGAAGGTGTAGAGAAGACTTTTGTCAGGTTTTATGAATTTTTTTTAAATTTTATTTAGCATGTTCAGAACACCCAAAGTGATGTGAAAAAAGTGTAACGTGCACCTCTACTTCACAGCAGAGAAGAAGCGCTTTTTGAAGTTTCACACTGAGTAAAATCTCATTCCATGAAGTACATGATATGACACGACACTACATCAGGGCTGAGAAACTTCAGTCCTGGAGGGCCACTGTCCTACAGAGTTAGCTCCAACCCTAATCAAACACATCAGAACCAGCTAATGAATGTCTTTTAAGATCACTAGAAAGCTACTGGCAGGTGTGTTTAATTAGGGTTGGAGCTAAACTTTGCAGGACAGTGGGCCCTCCAGGACCGAAGTTTCTGTATCAAATGCAATATATCAAAATCAAGTGTTTTTCCCTTTTCACTTAATGATTTCTTGACAGATTTGTGATTTTGTATTGCTCTCTGAACATTGTCTTATGATATGTGAATGGACAATTTTCTCAGTGATTCTGCACCATTGTTGCACAACGTTGCCCTAAGGTAACAAAAAAATATTTTGGGGTGAGGGGAGGTCAAAAAATTTTTTATCAATAAAATGTTCCCAAATAAACCAAAAAATGATGTGGAATAATTTTTTATCATGTACCATCAAAATGTGTGCAGTAGAGGGTTAATACTCCTTAACCTTTGAAAAAGTTAATATTAAATAAATATTAGGCATACTAATTATGGTCTAAATTATTAAAGGAATTGTTCCAATCCCATATGGCTTTCTCTCTTCCTTGAAGCGCAAAAGGAAAGTTTTTGGAGGATATCCTGGCTGCTGTTTTCCATATAATGAGAAACGTTGGATCTATCAAGCTGCAAAATGACAAAAGTAGCAGCATAAAGGTATCATAATGTATATTCACTTCAGTTATATGGAAAAGAGCCAGGATAGTTTTCAGAAACTGGAAGTAAGTCGTATGATGAGAGATTTCTCATTTTGTGTGAACTATCCATTTTTGTTTCCTCATAAATGTAGACTTATGTACTTTAAAATATCCAAAAAGCACAATGTAAAATGGCAGTAAGTCTTCGTAAACAACGTTCATAAAATAGTAGGCGAAACACTGATTAACATATTTTCATACATCTAATGGACACTTTAGGGCAATTTTGGGCACAGTACTGCTTTCTGTTCTCTGCATTAGTATCGTTAAAGTTGCCGAGAAAAGAAAGTAGCAACTAGGACTTTGAGGGCTAAAGATTTTTCTTGTCGACTAATAGTCGTTCATATCGACTAATCGCACGTTTATATAAATAATTCATAATAATGAGCCTTTAATTGCCTAAAGCCTATCAGCGCACACATAAAGCTTGCCACAGCACACCGGCAGTAATGATTATGAATGCTTCGGGAAAATAGTAAGAAGACTGCTTTAACATCATTATTCATTGATAATGATAAGTGTTTTCTGTATTTTCGGCTGCTGTGAAGATTCGTCAACTCCACAGTGGACACACACTTTATGGACAAACATAAACATATGTTTTCTATTTGAATTGGTTCATTTAAAAGTAGACATTTTCTATAGGCTAGATACATTTTTAATGTCTGCGAGGCAAACACAGAGTTTTGGTTCATTTATTTATTTATTTTTTGATGCGCTCAAGTTCGCAGAGACTTAGACGGCAGAAAGCGCACCCTGTTTGCTTTCATTATTTTACAAAAGCACAATGATTTGTTGTTATTGTGAGTGCACACAAATAAAAGTATACCTTTCACAGATTGGAAGGATTTATTACTCTTATCTGTACGAGCAAAAATGACGGAGTATTTTAAGTTTAATGCAAACGATCGCTCCGGCTCCTCTAAGTTGACTGTCATGCAGTGAGCGCTCTACTGTTCATCTTCCACACTCCGCACTTCAATAGCGCACATTTTTCTAGGTTAATATTAAAGCGAGTGGCCATGTAATGTTACTACTACTTATATGTTTCAGATGATAAACCACATTTGAGGTCGAAACGACCAATGTACTGTAATTACCACATAGAGTAGCTGTTAATGGTCTGTCCGTCACTTACTAATGGTTAGTCGACTATTAGGGGGCAGCCCTAGTAGCAACAGATCTTTTCTTCCTCATTAAGACATATAAGTGTTACAGATTATCAAAAAATAAAAAAAATGTAGTGAGGGGTTCTGTCTATCGTTTGGTGATTGGATTTTGAGATGTCCAAACAAAATGTAAAAAATGAAACTTACATGGATAAATTATTCGCAATAAGACCTGTCATGCATTTGAAAAAAAATGTATCACCATTTCCAGAAAAATTTTAAGCAGCACAACTATTTTCAGCATTGATAATAAGAAATGTTTTTATGAAAGCAGCAAAACAGCATATTAAAATGATCTCATGTGACAGTGAAGACTGGAGTAATGATGTTGAAAATTAAACTTTTTTTTAAATAATAAAATACCATTTTAAAATATATTAATGTAGAAATGATTATTTTAGATTGTAGTAGTATTTCACAATATTGCTGTTTGTACTGCTTTTTTGATCAAATTAACGCAGCTTTGGTGAGCATAACTATGTGTGTGTGTGTGTGTGTGTGTGTGTGTGTGTGTGTATTATGTTACATTATATTTGGTTATGCTCAATCTTAAATTTGTAATGTAAAACAAACAAGATGTACGTTTTGGCGTTCATTCTATGCCAAATAGGCTACCATTATATTGTATATTGCTTGGAAATACTGAAATGGGGGGAAAAAATTAATGCCTCGTCTTTTTATTTGCAACATTTTTCTTGCAAAACAAAATCTGCCAGTTTTTTTTTTGTTGTTCAAAAGATTTGCACTTAGAATAAGCTTAATGGCTTTTTGTGATGAAAATGTCTTTAAGTGCCTCTCTCTTTCCTCTTCTGGCTTATTCTGTAATCTGCGTTGGCGTTGTGAACCGCTTGAGGATTTAATGACTTTAATATCAGACACACTCTTACAACTCTGCGTTTGAAATATAAGGTCTTCTTATTGCAATAACTTGTGAATATTTCTTCAGCTGCCGTACCTCTGCCTTCAGCTGTGGCGAGCTCTAGTGAGCTTCAGAGAGCTGACAGGATGCAGTAGCATTTCCCAGCACAGCAGCGAAATCCTGTTGTTTCCTGCGTTGTTTGATGCCATATTCCCAACTCAATGCCACACCGCACCAGCATATATCATATAACATCTGGATATAGCTTTATACCCTGACAGTGACATACATTTGTTTTGTTTTCCCCCCGCAGACTGCAGAACAGCTACACGGCATCTCAGAGAGCTAATCAAGACCTGGAGGAGAAACTTCACGCCCTGGTAACCGTTCCACTCCACTTCACTTTCCCTTTCTAAAGTCCTTTATCTTAAACACTGATGTCTTTAATTGCCATTTAATTGTTCAGTGTGCCCTAACGATGCCACACTCAGTCAGTTCGTCACAAGTATTATGAACTGTAATTGAGGAACCTTTTGCTTTGCTTCATTCTCCAGGGACTAACAAACAAGTAACAGTATTCCTCATGCCACTCATGCATGCAGGAAGTTAATTTTCCACTGGGAAAATTGTTGTTTGAAGACAAGCAACAGTAATTGTGTTGCTCTGATTCACACTTGAGATAAAAACGCCATTATTCTTGCATTGTGTTTTAAATTGTTGCAGTTCTGCTACAAACCAACTGTGAGTTTTGTTTACTCGCCAAGTGTAAAGCCAAATCTGACTCACTTTTAGCTCTTTCTGGATGTTCATTTTGGACCCTGCCTTCATAGATGAGCTGTGATGGGCCAATAATTATGCCATAGACGATCATAGTCACTTCCCACTGCTCTCATCTCACTGCTGTGCATAAAACAGTGTATGAGCACAGTCCTGTTATCATGATTTTCCTAAACATTTCAGCTGTTGCCAGTTACTTTACTGAGAACGTTTACAATAAATGTATGGGCGAGTGGTTTAACAAATAATGCGCTTTACATTCATCAGACAGAATCCAGGATTTTTGCAAGTTCTGCTTTTTTCTCAAAGGATTAGTTCACCCAAAAGTGAATGCGAAAAAATGAGAAATCATTGTTTACTAACTCTCTTGTCGTTCCAAACCTGACTGCTGTGGAAGACATTATGAATAGGTCAACCGATATAGATCACATAACACAATTTAAAGTAACAATAAAATCAAAATGGACAGTTATTTTTTGTATAGAATATTGCAGTTATAAATAATTTATACATGCACATCATTATTTATTTATAATTTTTTTAATTGAATGTCCCTTGTAATCTTTAATTGTCGCTGTCAAAATAAACGTCCCAGCTTTTACCAAATATGCCAAATATTTTTAATAAATATTGGCGGATACATCAGCCTTGGTGATATATCTGTCAACCACTAACATTGAATAATGTATTTATCTTTTCAATGTGTTAGATTTGAGGTATAATTTGAATAAGAGCTGGCAACCTCCGAAAAGGACTCCAAAAGCTACGGAATAGCTTCAAAAGAGTCATTTATACCACATTTTTGGTATTTTGGAGATTGACATCCCTGCATTTACATACATTTGAAGAGTGACCAGGATTTTCATCAAAAATGCACCTTTTATGTTGCACAGAAAAGAAAGTCATGCATGTTTAGAATGACTTGAGATCGAAACAATGATGAGAATGGTCATTTTTGGGTGAACTGTCCCTTTAAGTGCATCAAAGCCTTTCAAGCATTAATGTTAAATGTATTCATTTTTAAATTATAAAACATTTCTACAGGAAAAGACCCATGATACTTCAGTGTTGTCGTGCTGTCATTCATTTGCCACTCCAGTACGGTTTAAAATTCAGTCACAAGAAATCAAAGCAGATTCCGCTCCCTTCTAAAAGATTGATTTGCCATTGATGTTTTTTGCTTTTTAAAAAAAGAAAAAAAGAAGAAGAAATGTAGAGGTCCCTGAATGACCACTCTGGTTGTGGTCATAATTGTCACAGTTAAGGCCATGCTGATGGATCAGTCAGGCGATTTGGTAGTAGACAGAACTCAGCATGTTTTTTTCATAAAAGCTTTGTTTGGATGAAAATTTTCTGTGCTTTAGCACTCAAACAAAGCCAAAGTAATTGTCTGAGAACAATCGAGAGCGGGGAAAAAACAACAACATCGAAAGCTAAAGATTGAATAAATGTACAAATTTGTCCCTAAGCCTCTTTTTCTTCACTGAGTATAAAACAATTCCCACTGGATGTTCTAATACATCATAATAACTGTCATAGACTGCAGTCGTCCCCCGACAATGTTATTCAGTTAGGATGAATGCGATTGAAAGATTATTTGAATGTGATTGTGCATCACAGAAACCGGCCGTCCTGTGTTCAGTGTGATGCATTCATTAAAATATCTTTGGAAACTGCTGTTGGTTGTTGTAATAAATTGTTAAAGGATTCCATGTTTTATTAAAACCAATATGAATGTAAATTTTCCCCCGACTGCCTTTTTCCAGTTTCGCTCAAATGAAAATTGAATCAAACATGCATCTATAATAAGTTATTTTAGGAATCTTTTATCACTCTTAGGTGGTCTGCAAAATTATCTCTAGAGTAATTTAGCAGGACTGGAAAACTTCAGAACGAGTCGCTCTCTCTTAATCACATCTGAAGACTCCATGTGTGTATAAGGATAGCATTAGCTCTTGATGATTTATGTTCATTTTCAATTAAATCCCAGCGGTGTCTTAGTTCTGCTTGGTGAGATCTCATATCCATGACCTCTGCATAAAGCTTTGCCAATCACTGGTGAAACAGGTGGCATTCTGCTCAGTAATCTCTCGTCGTGGACACGGGGATTATCCCGGCCGACCTGTTCCACCTAGTGAAGGGCCCATCATGTCTCACCGTAGGTGCTCTCAGGACACGAGCTCACTCAGAGTACTGGTTTAGCGAAATCATCTCCAAATACAATCAGCAAGCAGCAAGAATGTGGAAATCTGTTTTCAGTTTAGATTTGCAACCGCGTTTCTGGTTGGTTAATACAGCATATTCAACAATGATTGAAAAGCATAGAGAGAGAATTGAAATTTGTTTGAAATTAAGTGCAGAATTCATCTCTCTTCAAAATCAAAACTATAAAATATATCTACTCTATTCTCAACTACTGGTCAGTCTTTCTCAAGCCAACATCAAAGTTTGTCTTGATAAATGTTTCTGTCTAGCTTTATTTCAGCTCAACTTCACTTACCAAAAACTGTTTTTAACAGGTTTAATTGTAGTTAAGTTTTACAGAATAATCATTTCTAGATCCCGACTGATATGGGTTATTTGGGGGCCGATACCGATATTATGGAATAACTTCCCATTCGTGTGTCCAAACTTTTGACAGGTACTGTATATAGAATACAGTATATACATAAACAGAATATATATACATATACATTTTTTGCAATGATAACTCAAATGTGGTGATCAAACACTTAAAAGGATGTGACAAACAGGCCTATGTAATGGAGGCAGGGTATTTAACAATTTAACAATAAACTTGAGTCTGACATCATTGCACTGAACAGTAAAGTTCACTTATTATAAATAAATTAAACACAAATAGAACAAAATATATATAACTTGAATTAAGAAAATAAACAAGGTAACTGTGTAGGGCAAGCAAGCTACTGCCAATCCAAAAGGGGCAGGTTTATGCAGGAAGCATAGCTTTTCCAAATGTAAACATCTAAAATTAAATAATAATAATGAATAATATTTTTCACAAATTCTGTGTTGTGTATTTTCTGGTAATCAAATGAACATGCAGAACATTAGGATTCGTATTTAAATAGTCTTTTTGCAGTTTAATATTAACAGACACTAGTCTATATCACGATTTGATATAAGTGTACTGACCTGTTTTTTATTTGTTCATCAAAAATAAGACAAATTCCGCGATTCCGTCCATGTTTTCTGCATCGCGGAAATCACAGGGCCCTACTAATGTAGCAAACGAACATGATAAGCTCATTGTGAAAGTAAAAGAAAGACGGGGACATTGCTGTTTAGCATTACTTTAGCATTAAGTCTCTCCAACTAGGTGACAACGTAGCGTTAAATCACCATTCAACAGACTCAAGCCACCACCGCACTGCCGTCTATTGGACTCCAGAAAGATACTAACTATTTAATCTGCTACGTTACTGACTGTACTGACAAACTAAGCTGACACCGTGTCTTAGCCGTAACAGGATGCGACAAAGCGACCATTTAAAATCATTTGAACTCTGTGTCAGCACGTCATAAATAGAACGGGGCATCGGTTTACTGTCGGGATTTGTCGTGTCGCATCGCGCCGCATCCAGTGTAGACAACATCACTGATTATAATGGGTTCTATTGTATTTTGTCACGCCGCTCGCGTCCAGTTAGGAAATGTGATGTGACCGATGTGATAAGCATGAGTTGTGGGCTGCGGCACGGCCGGTATAAACACCAGCATTGACTGAGTGGCCGCGATCAGCTCCGGTGGCCGTGGAGTCGTATGCGCCACAGACGTGTGCAGTGATGCGCAGATCAGCTCTAACGCCACTGAATCTGCTGTTAAAAACTAACCATCCATTCATCATATCATCATGCAAAACTAAGAATTAGAATCATTGTAATGTGACGATCAAATATAGGCGCGAGTGGGTGGCGGGCGGATAATTTATTTGAAGCAGCGGACTCAGGTGAAGTTTGAGCTCATCCACGCATCTCTACACTACACTGACCTGAGTCGCCAGTAGCAAAGAATGGAGCGTGCTCTGCTGGACAAACTAAGTAATTACACCATTCAGAAGCATTTAATCTGCGTTATATGTTCTGTAAAAAAAAATTCATATCGGTGACATATTCACAGATACCGATATATCTGTGACAGGCTCATATCGGCTGACAAAATCGGCATAATGATATATTGGTCAAGCTCTAATCATTTCTAACTAATGATAAAGTGGTGATCCAGAAGTGTGCAAATATATTGTGTCTTTCTCATGACTAGTTTCTATCTTTCTGTCCTCTTTCTTTCTTGTCTGTACTTGTCTTTCTCTCATTTAATACTTGCAGACATGCAGGTTAATGGAAATATAAGAATAAGCACAAAATTATCTTTCTCTTTACCTTTCTTCTCCCTTTCCTCTCCCCTCATGCTGCCTTGTGACTTTGGGTATTTCACCATATTCTTCATCATCATCTTCACCATCATCAGGCTGCCATCAGTCAAACTTGGGTCTACGCAGTTGCGTTCTCTTTCTATTTATTCATTTCCTTCTGTCTGTCTCTGCTCTCCCAATAAGTATCGCTGTAGATATCATTCCCATGAGTCATTGCATCTCCTTCCTGTCTCCTCTCCTCTCTTCCTGTAGTAGATGGCTGGATATAGCTGTGGCCATGCCCGTGTCTGTGCATGTGGACAGGGGGATTCTGGGATAGATGTCACGCCATAAAGTGCAGTCCAAATGTTTAACAAAGTGGTTAAAATGCACAGCAAACACTGTAAGAAAATAAAATATTCATGAGTATGAATGAATTACAAATGATATTTTACAGCATTTAAGGCCACTCCAAGATAGAAACACTATTTGTTGGGCCATTCTGTGTGAAAGTGAGTAATAAAATCCCTTTTCTAAGTCCATTAGTGAAGTGTTCAATAACAGTGGCCACGCACTACACTACCCCTAATCCTGAAGAGAGATCAACCAATCACGGCAGAGCTCAACAGTCAGACCGCTCACTTTCATTTACCAACCCAAACCATATTTCTGTCACAGTTTCTCCAAATTAAAGTTTTTATTTTGAAAGGTTGTTGTGAAGACCTTCAGTTTCAGCAGTGATGAGTTATAAAACTACTGATTAAGTTTGGAAACAGTTAAAACATTGTTTAAAAACAATGTATAAAGCCAATGTTTATTACAAAGTACTCAAACATAAAAATAGTTTGAGAGTGTAGAGAGGTTTGATTGTCAGATCTTTATGGGAGTGTACAGTGAATGTAATGCTTTGCCATGATTGGTTGATTTCTCTTTAGGATTATGGGTAGTGTAGTACTTCATGGGGAACTGTGTAATTAGACATGATTATGAATATTTTTCATGTTAGGACTTTCTTTAAACGTTTACTGCTGATTTTTTTTTTCTTTATGAAAAAAAAAAAGAATAGGACTTTTACTTCCGGAGCCCTACTATATACTTTGCTCTGTTTTGCTCACATAAATGGGCTGTCAGCGGAAACTTTTGTTGCTGTTAATTAACAATATTCAGTATATCGATATTTTAATAGCTACAAATGATAATTTTGCATCTTTTGCAGTTGGACAGACACATTATGTTATACGGGTATATATTTCCTAAATAAATTATGTATTCTTTAGTCAATTATGAAACCTTTTAGAGTAACACTAAAGCGCAGACACTGTTGGCATTTTGACCACTTGACTACAACTTTGGATGATGTCAATGCAGCTGTTAATGTGATCAAATTCCCTCCTTTCTATCCCTGTTTCCATCAGATGTGCTGTGCATTATACTGGCTGTTGCATTGCCGTTGTTACATGTGGACTTTGCATTGTGTTGAAAGGCTGTCCCCTCCTTAACTCTCTTTTATTGGTCCACATTGTTCACTTCAGTCAAACAGTGACTATAAAGATAATTGCTTTGTTATGGACATGCCAAGTTCCAGATTAAGGGTCACAGTTTCTGTCTACTTTTTCCTCAGTGTCTCTCTTTGTATCTCTCTGTCTCCACTTAAACCAAGAGCCGGCAGGGCTGAAGTGTGTCTTAAGTAGCAGAGCTTCTGTTAAGTATGTCCTCTTTAAAGTTCTTTCAAGAGCTTTTGTTCAGACATTTTAGTACAAAGACATTTCGGACTTTGCCATCACAGCAGGAGTGAAGTGTCTTCAGACAGCACTCTCACTCCTGAATTAGAAAACCACTGAACTCAGACAGAAGACATTTTATGCATGTAGACGTAGCTGGAGTGGTAATTGTCTGTAGTCTCAGCCTCAGTAAGACAGCCCACAATCACTGGCTGTCTGATGCTTTTATTCTTTCCATAAAACACAAAGGACAATTTTTTGAAAAATCTTCAACAGCTTATACTGACCATGGCTGAGACAAAAAAAAAAGTAAAAGTAGCATAAAAATATTCTATATGATGTGTGCATTATGTTTCAGGTCCTCTGAAGGAATATGATGTTGCTGTATAAGAAAACTAACTGAAGTTCTTCATTATTCATATACACTGTTCCAGTTCAGTGAAGATCATGACCGTGAATAACCATCATTTTAAAATGTTTTCATACAAAGCTATCTTATGACTTACACTACCCTTCAAAAGTTTGGGGTCAGTAAATTAATACTTCTGTTCAGCAGCGACGCATTAAACTCATCAAAAGTGACATTTATAATGTTACCAAGTAAGTTTTATTTCAAATGCTAATCTTACATTTTTTTAATAAACTTTTTATCTATTCATCAAAGAGTCTTGAAAAAAATATACCACGGTTTTCAAAATATATTAAGCAGTGCAGCTGTTTTCAACAACTGATAATAATAACAAATGATTCTTGAGCAGCAAATCGTCATATTAGAATGACTTCTGAAGGATCATGTGATACTGAAAGCTTTGCATCAAAGAAAATTCAGCCGTTGCATTACAGGAATAAATTACATTTTAAAATATATTCAAAAATTAAAACGGACATTTCTGTCATGACAACTCTTGGAGGGATTAAAATGGTAATGTACATGACAATGTTAATGTATTTGGTCTTGGCGGAATAGATCTGCTACACTGCTGCTGCTACTGCTGCAGAGCAAGTACCGAGACCTACTGCCACTGCATCCACAACATGCTGCTGCAAATATACATATACATGAACATACATGAAATAACCCCATATAGCATACATGAATCACCTCATAGCAGATCTATACAGGTGGAGCTGGGGAAGGTGGAGGGTTTCTGAAGCAAGCTGCAACTGCTACGGCAAGCACTAGTCATATATTTGAATGTTGAGCAGCGAGCTCATTGGCTACCGATACAGAAGAGAACCAATCAGCTGTGCCGTGTGATATTGATGTCATTAGGTCAGATTGAGTTAGACCTATCGGACTGCGCCATCTAGAGTTTCATGCCAGAACTGTATTTAATATTGTAACAATAAACAATGAAACTCTTTACCAGCCTCAAACTTTTGAATGGTAGTGTATATGGACTTCTTGTTTCTTTCTGGCAGATATGATCAGTATGAACATATAAAATAAAATAGATTTTGAGTTTGAAAACACAAGAGGGTAAGTAAAGTTGGTTGGTTTTCAGAGACCGAGCTAATTGGACAGAAATGTTTGAGATACAGAGAATGAGACACGCCAAGGGAAAGTGATGCTTATTTTCAATGAGATTCCGTCAATATGTTTCCTTACCTGCTTTATTTGTTTTCCCCATGGACTGTGCCTCAACCACATTTCCAGGCTCTTTGGATTATAATAATAATGAATAATAATTTATGCATTTAGCAGACGCTTTTATCCAAAGCGACTTACAGTGCATTCATGCTATACAATTATTATTAATTACTATTTCTTTGCAGCTGGTGCATTGTCAGCAATGTACTTAGGACTGAAGGAAAACATGTTTTTGTGTTTTTTCCCCCCCCTAAACCAAAAATGGCTACTGGTGTTCTTTGTATTAAGAGAGAGAGGTTGAACCTCATCTGAGACCTTTTACGTTAAAGTTTATATGAATGTCCTTTTTCTCCTTACAGCTCCGTAAAGTGGAAAGAGACAAGAAAACCATGGATCAAGAGATAGTGGAGCTCACGAATAAACTCGTGGATGCCAAAAACACTATCGACAAGCTGGAGGAACTGAATGTACGTGCGATAGCAGAGCTTTGTGTGTGTTTGTGTTTGAGGCACGTTTTGGACTCGAGTTGTCAGAGCTGCAGTGTTACTGGGATTGATTAGCAGATCTATACAGGTGGAGCTGGGGAAGGTGGAGGGTTTCTGAAGCAAGCTGCAACTGCTACGGCAAGCACTAGTCATATATTTGAATGTTGAGCAGCGAGCTCATTGGCTACCGATACAGAAGAGAACCAATCAGCTGTGCCGTGTGATATTGATGTCATTAGGTCAGATTGAGTTAGACCTATCGGACTGCGCCATCTAGAGTTTCATGCCAGAACTGTATTTAATATTGTAACAATAAACAATGAAACTCTTTACCAGCCTCAAACTTTTGAATGGTAGTGTATATGGACTTCTTGTTTCTTTCTGGCAGATATGATCAGTATGAACATATAAAATAAAATAGATTTTGAGTTTGAAAACACAAGAGGGTAAGTAAAGTTGGTTGGTTTTCAAAGACCGAGCTAATTGGACAGAAATGTTTGAGATACAGAGAATGAGACACGCCAAGGGAAAGTGATGCTTATTTTCAATGAGATTCCGTCAATATGTTTCCTTACCTGCTTTATTTGTTTTCCCCATGGACTGTGCCTCAACCACATTTCCAGGCTCTTTGGATTATAATAATAATGAATAATAATTTATGCATTTAGCAGACGCTTTTATCCAAAGCGACTTACAGTGCATTCATGCTATACAATTATTATTAATTACTATTTCTTTGCAGCTGGTGCATTGTCAGCAATGTACTTAGGACTGAAGGAAAACATGTTTTTGTGTTTTTTCCCCCCCCTAAACCAAAAATGGCTACTGGTGTTCTTTGTATTAAGAGAGAGAGGTTGAACCTCATCTGAGACCTTTTACGTTAAAGTTTATATGAATGTCCTTTTTCTCCTTACAGCTCCGTAAAGTGGAAAGAGACAAGAAAACCATGGATCAAGAGATAGTGGAGCTCACGAATAAACTCGTGGATGCCAAAAACACTATCGACAAGCTGGAGGAACTGAATGTACGTGCGATAGCAGAGCTTTGTGTGTGTTTGTGTTTGAGGCACGTTTTGGACTCGAGTTGTCAGAGCTGCAGTGTTACTGGGATTGATAACTCCTGGAGCTGAAAATTGAAAGTTGCATGAAGAGGATCTGTGCTGAGATTTCACAGAAGTGTACTGTCAGATTCCAGAAATGAT